AGGAGCTTAATTCAAATTTAGCACCAACACTGAAACAAGCTAAGATGAAACATAAGACAGATAGTAAAGAGAGCCTGAAGTCCACATCAAAACCATCCCCAAGCAAAAATCTCCACAAAGAGTCCAAAGAAGAATCTCTTGAAAAACAAAAAACCCTGAGTAAAACTGACTCTGTGGAAACTCAGGAGCCAACACAAAAAACAGAGAAGAAAGAAAAAACACTTGTGAAAAAAGTGAAAACCGGGGATAAGGACATTAAAATCAAGACTGAGCAAATACCCAAAATTGACACTCCAGAGAACAAGAAAGTTGACATTAAACCAAAAACAATGAAGATAGAAACAAAGAAATCAGTGGAAAAAAGTGAGGCTAATAAAAAGGCTGAAAAACCCACACCCAAGAAAGAAGAAAAGGCCATAAAAGAAGAGAAGGTGAAGAAAGAGGAAGTCAAGAAGGAAATTAAAAGACGAGACATTAAGAAAGATTCCCTATTAAAGGAGAGCAGAAAGGATGAAAAGAAAGAAACTCAAAAAAATGAAAAAGAACCTAAGAAAGATTTGAGGAAAGCCAGTAGCTTGAAAAAGAATGCCCTTGGCACACCCGAGGTGAAAAAACCTGCACCTAAACCAAAGGTTGCAGCACGAGGCAAGGGCCCTGGTAGTCCCGCAAAATCCAAAGAAAAGGCTAAGCCCAAGCCCACCAAAAAAGATGCTGGCAAATCAGTGGAAGCACCTTCCGTCTCAAGTGCTACTGGTGAAGAACCTGCTGTTGAAGCCAGTGTAACAGATGTTCTTGAGGCAGAGAGGTCACTGATGTCTTCTCCAGAAGACCTCACTAAAGACTTTGAGGCTCTGAAAGCAGAGGAGATTGCTGAAGATGACGAAATCCTATCACAGACCAAAATAGACGATTCCGATCAAGGAGAGATGATTAAGCATGAAGAAATAACTCCTTGCAAAGAGTCTCCAGAAGCAGCAGAGTCCCTGGATGAAGGAATAGCAACCACAGAAGCTGAGGAGGAATGTGGTGGTATTCCAGGAGATCTAGAGCCAAATCAAAAAAGCAATGGTACCAGTGAAAAATTTGAAGATGAAGGAACAGGGTTGGAAGAGTCATCTGAGATAGGGGACTATGAAGAAAAGGGCGATACAGAGGAAGTGGATGAGCAAGACAGAGTAATATCTAAGTTAAAAGATGACGGAGATCAAGAAGAGCAGGAAACCAAGGAAGGATCAGATTATGGTGCAGAAGAACCACAATATAGACATGACAAAGAAACTGAGTTGCAGAGTTTTGATGTAACCACACCACCAAAGATCTCTGCACCGGTATCTCCTGCTGTTTCTATTCATGATGAAACCCTACCAGCAGGTTCAGAATGTGAAGTTGCCTCTGATGATGAAAATCGTGATGATCCTCCAGAAGAATACACAACATCTGGACACACTCAATCTACAATTGAGATCTCAAGTGTTCCAACACCTATGGATGAAATGTCTACTCCAAGAGATGTAATGAGTGATGAGACAATTAATGATGAAAGTGATTCTCCCTCCCAAGATTTTGTTAAGTACGGTATGACTGCAGATTTTGATAGAAAGAACCTTTCACTTCTCCAAGACCTTCCTGAATTAGATCTCTCCAAGAGCGATGCCACTGAGGGGCATGACTATCATGCATCAGCTTCGACCATTTCACCACCATCTTCACTGGAGGAAGACAAATCTGCCAAGGAGTTTTTAGCTAAAGACACACTCTCTTTTGATTCAAACAGGCTCAGTGCTTCCACTACAACTTTGCCTCTTGTCAGGTCACCTTCTGGTGACCAAAATGTGAATGTTGACCATGTTCATGGAGGTGTGTCTTCACCGATTGAACTGGGAACCACATTAGCTGGGATGTCAAAAGGAATGGAATCATGCAGTCCCGATGAGAAAACCTTAGAGGGCCCTTTATCTCCTCAGTCATCAGGTCACACACCTTACTACCAATCCCCAGTGGAGGAGAAAGCTGGCACTCTACCATCAGACAAAACACCTGAGCCCCAGGGTCCTATTATTGTTGACATCACAAGTGACAAGGAATACTCTCCCAGAGAAGCTAGTCCTATTGATGAAGCAGTACCTGTGTCACAAATGGGAAAGAAGCAATCACCAAGTTATGAAGCACATTTATCAACCACTTTTGAGGTTGACCACAAGACCCCAAGCCAGACTGTCAATAATGATAAAAAGTTAGCAACTGATGACAGCTCTTCAGTTACATCTGCTACATCTTTGCCACCGGCTAAAGTAGAGAGCCTTTCTGATACAAATCCGTTCACAACATTTAAAGAGGACAGCAAAATGTCCATATCTGAGGGGACCACATCTGGCACTCCAGTTGATGAGGTTGTTGCAGAAGACACATTTTCTCACATTGCCTCTGCCTCAACAGCATCACTCGCAACAAGTTCTTTACCAGAACCTACAACAGATGATGTCTCCCCATCACTTCATGCTGAAGTTGGCTCCCCACATTCCACAGAAGTGGATGACTCTCTCTCTGTCTCTGTTGTTCAGACTCCGACCACAATGCAAGAAGCAGAAGTTTCCCCATGTAAGGAGTACAGTCCCCGGCCTATGTCAATCTCCCCTGATGTTTCCCCTAAAATAGCAAAATTGAGAATGCCACAACAGGAAACAAAATCCCCTGAGCAGTCATTGTCAGTTGAGTGTAGACAAGAATCCCCAGAACACTCATTTGCATTGGATTTCAGCAAGCAGTCACCAGATCATCCATTTGTAGGAGGAATGCGGCGTACAGCCACTGAAAATGGTCCAACAGAAGTTGATTACAGCCCCTTGGATGGAACCAATCTCATGGGAGAACAGCGCAGACCTGGGGAAGATGGGGACAAGGCAATGCTTTTCAGAGATTCTGATAGTACCCAGGTTGCTTCTGTTTCCCCATCAGATGCCTCTCAGTCCACCCCATCAGTTACAACACCCTGCCAAATTGGGGAGCCAAGAGAAGTTTCTTCAAATTTAGGACATTTCTCAGAGCCTGTTGCTCCAAAACAGTCACCCCACAATCACTCTCCTTTATCTCCTGACTCATCTCTTGTTCTAGGCGGACTAAGCACCTCACATGAAGGAACAGATAAAGATAAAACTAGTCCCAACTCATTTAACAAAGAGACTGGTATGGATAAAATAGAGGACAGAAAAAATCTGGAGAAGACTCCTCCAAAGGCCAGGTCACCCTCATCTCCTATAGTGTCATCTTGTTTTTCTCCAAAGACAGAAGAGCTTAAACCTGGCTTAGGGACAAATCCCTTCACAGACTCAAAATCCCCCACCAGTCCCAAAATGTCATCTCCAGCTCAACATTCTCCTACTTCCAATCAGACAGACACTCAAGAGAAGTTTTCCAGCAGCTCCACATCATATTCCTACAGCTGTCAATATGGTGAATCTACTCAAATTTGTGATGGCGGGTCCATAGGGCCAGATACCTCAAAAACAAGCCCACCTCAGTCACAAGCAGATGTAGACTTGTGTTTGGTGACCTCCTGTGAATACAGACATCCAAAGACAGAGCTTTCTCCATCCTTTATAAACCCCAGTCCTCTTGAGTACTTCATGAATGAGGAACATCCTTTGGAGGAGGAAAAGCCACTTGCTAGGTCTGGAGGAGGACCACCGCCACCTGGAGGGAAACAGCAGAGCAAGCGGTGTGAGGAAACTCCTCCAACTTCTGTAAGTGAATCAGCGCCCTCTCAAACAGACTCAGATGTTCCTCCTGGCACAGAGGAGTGCCCATCAATAACTGCAGATGCAAATATTGACTCTGAGGATGACTCAGAAACACTACCAACAGATAGGACTATCACTTATCGTCATGCAGACCCACCTCCAGTCATGCCCAGAGACCCCGCTCCTGCCCCTCCACATCCTGATGCCTGCATGGTGGATCCTGAGGTCCTTAAGGCTGAAGAGGCATCCCAAAAAGATGAAAGAGGGAAGCCAAAAAAGAACATCAGCAGCAAGACTAAGTCATCTGCAACAAAGAGCTTGTCAAAAACAAGTGCCATCAAAGAGTCAAAAGTGTCCTCTCCAAAAAAGAATACAGAAGTTACAGATGTTAAAAATGCCAAAAATGCTACTAATACCTCCGCATCAAGGGGAGTGAAAAGCAGTACTTCAGGTAACTCTAGTTTCATACGCAGAGTTTAAAAATATGAAAAATACATGTGTACTATAACGCCTTAAAAATTACATTGTTATATGTCTGTAGCTTTTAAAGAGTTGTTTATCTTTGCTTTTAAAATCAGAGATTACTGTATGTATGTATGTATGTGCATATATATATATATATATATATATATATATAAA